GGCAGTAGTATTTAGGTGAGCGTGTGAATCCAGCCAATTGTCCTTACATATATTCTCATGACATCTTACATTAAGCCTGCACAACTGACATAAAGTCAATGACCTTTTTGGCTTGTGTGTAAACATAAAACAAAGACTATGTAGGTCGGCAATCTAATGTTTTGTAGATTGCAAATGGATGACAAAATGAATCTGATAAAGCTCTGTACTTTCCAAGAGTCTTGCAAGACTTGCAAAGGCACTTTTGTAACATGAAGCAGTCTGCTAAACATGGGAGTGTTTAGGCCTAGTCCTCTGTGGTCAATTTAAGATCACACAGGAAAGAAAAAAGACAAAAAAACGGCCACACTCGCAGCTGTGTTTTTCCATTTTTACACAAGTGGACAAGAACAAACCAATCAAAAGGGGATCAAGTGAAAGTCTATGACACAGGACACACTCAAACACAGGAAGACTCAAGACTCAAAAAAACACACCAGCCCTCTGGGGCCATGACTGCAGCTCTGTGCGTCTGTTCATGCATGAAGGAGTCTTCTGGGCGACTCTAGCTTCTGGGTTAGTATAGATCAGTTTATGTCCTCCTTGTACAGTGTTGGTTCACTGGTAATGTGTTCTAACTTACATTTGAATTCTACTTCTGTATTTTTCATTTAATAAGGCCCTTCCAAATGACTTGTGACAACATTCCCCAATGTGTTAAACTCTATAGATCAGCGAATCATGCTAAAGCGCTACAGCTGACAGAGAATTGTATGCAGGTCAAAAGTTCCAACACTATGCTCAAAGTGCAAGTACTGAAAGCATAACATGACATTCAGAGGATAATTCTTGTGAAAAGGCCTTTACTTATGATTTGTTCTTCTGGCTTGTATCCTGGAAATACTGCCAAGAAGATCCTTAAATTTCCTCCAAAGCTTCTCAGTGGTCTACTAGATCTACTCAAACATGACAGATACAGACACTTATACACACAGCTTCCGTCAGCAACCCAGCAGTGCCAAAGACGTTACTGGAAGAAGGCCACAGTCCAACCACTGTAATTGTATTTATTAGTGTAAGCCACAGGGTCAAGCTGAGATCAGGACATGTGTCCATTGGTACAGGAATAACAGCCTTTGGCACCGAGTAGTCAAAAACATCTACTCAAAACATCTTTCCATCTTCCTTTAACATGTTGAGGCCTTGTAAAAAAGTTTTAGTTTTATCTCAAATGAGGCTAAAGCTTGAGAATCAGCCAGGTATTTAAACTTTTGGTCTCGACGTTGGTCATAGAGTAGTACAGAAAACAAAGATAAGCTTTGCCATTCATATCGTCCTTCAGCTATGAATTAGGGGTGTGCGATATTTATCGTCTATGATAACATCGTACTTGTTGTTTTAACAATATGCGAGTTGACATTTTCAAGTATGTCTCTTACTTTGCATTGCAAAAAACAAACAAAAACACATCTTACCAGTCCAAAAGCATTCACTGCTTGAAGAAGCATATTAGAATACAGTTAAAATGCCCCTATAATTCAAGTTATGAAAGCAAAAACTACCCCTGTATGGGTTTTTGTTTACTATATTTATATAGTTAAGTAATATCACACAAGCAAGAGCCGTTTTCCTAAATATTAGCGTGTGAGTGTGATCGCAAATGTGATATTAATTTTATACAACAGGTCAACAAACAAGAAGTTAATATTGAGTGAGTTACACTTAGACACTATATATCAGTTAATCAAAATATCAGTTAATTATCGTTATCAAAAAAGTCCCAGTAAATATTGAGATATAATTTTGTGTCAATAATCGTACACCCCTACTACGAATCCCAGTCTAGTACAAATAATTTCTTAAAACAAACTTAAAATCAACATGAAATGGAATTCACAACTAGTTTTACTTCCATGATATGCCAAGATATTCAATGAGGAAAGATGCATGACGGGACTTGTTTTATCTATTAGAAACCAATTTGAACATGAAAGGTGGGATTTACACACCAAAATGCAGTCAGTTAAGGAAAATGCACCTTTTTCTTTACTTTTTGGCCTTCCTTCCACTGAGATGGCATTTTTGTCCTGAGCTTTTTGAAGGCGCTCACAAGTGAATATATTTGAAAATTTCATATTCATGTTGTAGTGACTGTGAAAATGGAGGTATTTGAAAACGATGATGCATTTTTAGTCATTTAACGCATATTTTACTAATAGATAACTATGGTTGTAACAATATTGTCATGCCTGCTCTTCACATTTATACAATCACTTTATAAAATCTTCATATTACATTCAGAAAAATATGACAGGAAATGTACCGTATTGACCCGAATCTAAGACGATGTTTTTTTCTTGGAAATACATCTGAAAAAACGCGGTCGTCTTATATTCAGAGTCTAGACTTTGACATGTCAATAATACACCCACAACAATAGTTGGCACCAAATACGCATAAAACGAGTGTGCCATGAAATACGTAATGTAATGCGT